ACGCGATGGTAGCATGTCGTCTGCGCAGCGTCATTTGGGTGCGCGGGTCTGCGCGCGCAAACGGCACACTGACATGTTGCAAATTTCGGGCTGGCGCACAACATTCTTAAGCAGAAAAAGGAACAACGCAACAAACATAAATCATTGGCGCTCCGCGCGGATTTCTTGGATCTGCGCTGGACCCCGCTCCCTGGCGCGAAGAGCGCGGAGGCGCCGCCAGGGGGTCCGTCGTTCTTACTCGCGCCACCCCTCGGTGGCAAAAGGGTGCTTGGCAGCCAGTAGTGCTCGACCAACTGCGGCCGCCATCCGCGCGCACGCCCACGTGAAAAGTACTCTCGCTTGCCGCAGGCACCACGCAGCGGCAGCCCCTGTCGGGGGGGTCGCGCGCGTGATGTGTTGCTTCTCTCTATATAGATAATGAAATATATCATATTATTCCATATATATATATATACATATATATATATATATGTATATGTATGTCTATATGTATTGCCGCTTGGTGGTGATGTATACTGCGGAGGGCAGTCCACAATAAACCTTCCACAAGAAACCCAACCCTGAGACCCCAAGACGTCCATCGATTTCTGGTCTGGGAACGCCACGCTCTCCATCGCAAAACCATCGAAACCCGGGAAACCCAGGGTACCCTGGATGCGAGCAGGGTGTTTCTTGACATGAGTCTCCACTGTATTTGCGGGCCCCGCACCCTGGCTGCAACAACAACAAGAACAAAAAACGGCGCGAAGGTTCTCGGCCGTTTTCGGCCTCCGCGGGCCCTGGCCAAGCGCCTGCGGGGCCGTCAAAAGCTGCTCGGGATCAGAAGGCGGCCCCTGGGAAGAGGTCCAGATCTCCTGGGGTCCACACTGTGAGAAACGAAAAACACCTCGTGGGTTGAGAGGAGGAGGGGTGAAAAGGGGGAAAAGGAGAAGGAGAAGTAGGAAGGAGCGGAGGAGAGCGGAAGGGGAACATGACTTGGCGAGTGGGAGAAGGAGAAAGAGGAGGAGGAGGAGGAGGAGGAGGAGGAGCAGGAGGAAGAGGAGGAGGAGGAGGAAGAGGAGGAGGAGGAGGAGGAGGAGAGGGAGTTATGGAGTCATGCAGTCATAGATCCAAGAAGCGCGCGGTGCACGCCGCACGCAGGCGGGCCGCAGTGGCAGGCAACCGGCACCCCCAGCCTCCCCCTCACGGGAGGAAGCGAGCCAGGGGATGGGCAGCCACCTCGTCGCCCAGCGACCTCCCTCCAGCCGAGAGGGAGGGGTGCGTACGGGGGACGGTCGGGTCACCTCGTCACTGCGAGGCACTTCCCGACTATCAACCCGTGCCAGGAGGAGGAGGAAGAGGAGGAGGAAGAGGAGGGGTACCGAATCACCAAGCAACCCAGGACGGACCCTCCAAGAGGCCCAGTGGGTTCCGCGACCTGTGGGCTCGGAGTCATCCTGAAACGTGTGGAAGACCAGTGCCCCAAGGGGAGTCCAGACTTGTGCACGGGGGCGACGGGCGGGTCGGGCTCAGTCTGTCGGGTGACCATGGAGCATGGAGCGGAGGTTGGCGGCGCGCAAAAGGGGGGCAGGGGGGGAGGGGGACAGGCTTCTCACAAACAGGCTACTTCTTAGAAGGCGCCGGCCTTACATCTATGGAGAAGGCACGCGCTTCTCAGAAGCAGGGGTGTTTCTGAGAAGCCTTCCCCCCTCCCCCTATAGACCCCCCCTCTGCGCGTGGCCGAGGAGGAGCAGCAGGACAACAGCCAGGCGAGCGCGGCCCAGCGCCCGCCGCTCCGCCCCTGCTGGCCCCGGCGCCGGGCGGGGGCAGCCGGAAGCCAGGCCAGAGCCTTAGGTAGGGCATGTCCCCCGACAGGCGGCTTTTGGACGGAGAACAAAAAACTGAACAAAGCATTCAAAAATAAACAAAAATACCCAAAAATTGTCCCCTGGCGATTTCTGAAGATTCCTTCTGTAGAGGGACAGGCCCAACTTCACACGAGCCAGACATGGACCAGCGCACCCCTCCTGGTTCCACGCAGAAGTGCTGAGGTCCTCTGGCCGCTGCCGTGAGGGAACGGGGGGCCCTGACGGGTATGAGGCCTCCTAGATGGAGTCCGAGTAGATGGGGTCCGCGGATCGTGCCGCATCGCCAATGCATCGGCGATGTGCGTCGGCGATGTGCATCGGCGATGAATCGGCGACGCCAGCGTGGAGAAACTCGGGCTCCACATCGAGTGGCATCGCCGGTGCATCACCGATGCGGCGCGATCCTCGGACCCACCTACTCCTCGGACCCTCCTACCGGATCCTGGGACACACAAGTAAATAGACACAGATGACAAGACTCCCCATATTTTCCCAGATCTTCTGGGCGTTTGTCTTCCCCCCCACTTCCCACAGTTCCCCACATCCTCTGGGGAATCGACGATCAGTTGTGTCTGCGTGTTTTTCCCCCTCGTGAACCCAGGAGGCCTGGAGTCGGGCCGGGCGAAAGGAGGAGATAGCAAAGGGGGGGTTCGAGAATCAGCTCACGCAGCTGATTTCCCCAGCGCCTCCCAGCGCCGGGAGGCGCCCATGTATCGAGGAAGGGGCCCGGCGGCGGGGCCGAAACCAGCTGCATGCAGCATATTTCGTACCCCCCCCTTTCCCAAACCCCCCCTTTCGCCCGACCCGACACTATCCCAGGCTTTGGGAGGTTTTCGAATGGACCGGAAACTTGGGGCCCAACCCTGGGATGCGCGATGGGGGGGCGCCCATCCTGCATAGTGGTGCGTCCGAGTAGCCCGCTTGGGGTGTATCCCAGGGCGTCCCCCTTTCGTCCGGCCCGATGGAGGGGCGCGGGCCCCCCGACGCTGCACGCTCGAGCGGCCGCCAGCGGGCGCGGCGCCCTGTGCGCGGCCTGCCGACCGCTGCCCGCGGCGCCACGCGGCAGCGGCGCATGCGTGCCCAGGCTTGGCCCCCCCGCGCGCGCCCCGAGAGCCACGCGCCGGAGGCCGCCCCGGCGAAGGGCCCTCCTGGCCCACGGGCCCTCGAGCCCTGACTACCCACAGGGCAGGTTTTAATGCATGGGATGTGCTTTTTTTTTGTTATGGGATTCTTAATACATGAGTAATTTATAAATGAATGTATGCATGAACTCATCGTTGTTTTTAATACTAAATCCCTGCACTTCGAATACATGATCCGCACGCGGAGCATGTATTAAAACCGGCACTGTAACCGCCCCAACCCAACCCGAAGTTCCGAATACCGCCCGAATTCCGGGTTGGGGGGGGGGGGGCGAGCTTCATGCGTGTTTTGTCCATGTTCCCCGACTCCCCCCCCCACACTGGAGACGGAGGGCAAGTCGGGGCCTTCGGGCTGGGTTGGGGTGGTTTGGTGGGCGGTGAAGTCCTGGACCCCCGAACCTCCCCGGGACCGTGTTCTCATCCTGAACTGTACGGCAGGTTCGTGCTGTGCCAGTTATAACCTTCCCAAGGCCGGCCTCTCATCCTGAACCGTACGGTAAGTTCGTGCCGTGCCGACTTCGGCCTTGGTTCATGACACCGCGGGGTTCATTCAACCTTGATGGATCGGCCGCTTCCGAGAAGTCAGATTGTCAACAGCGGCCGACTCTTGGTCGTCAGCGGCGTTCAATATTAACCGCCCGCTGCGGGGTCGCCGCCGGTCGACACGACGCGAACCGACCGTACTTTGACAGTCCCAGGGGCGCGCGATGGGCCCCGAGAGGCCGGGAGAAGGGCAACGAAAACTCAGGGCCCCTTTCTCGGAGGGCCAAGTGAGACACCAGCGTCTCTCCCGTCCCGGCCCACATCTGAGCATCATTTCACCGATCCCTATCCCCACCGGTGTGTCCTGGGCCCTGCTGGCCGATTCGCCCCCCTAGCTGGGGATGTAGGCCGCTCCCTTCGGATGCTAAGGGGCACGTCCCCAACTGGGGTGCTGGGATGGTGGGCATCGGGATGGGGGCTGGGGCTGGGGATGGGGATCGGTCCAGCGATGCTGAACATCCGCTCAAATCGCGGATGGACAGAACCCCCTTTAGCAAAACGTGGTTTAGTGAAAACGACCTCGGGCCCAAACCTGGCGGGCGCAAGCCTGGAAAATGACGGCCGCGGCGCCCTCTCGAGAACCGAACACGGACAATTCACTGATCGACGTGTCAGGGTGAGGTTCTGTCCACCCCCGACCCAACTGGGGTGGTGGGATGGTGGGCATCGGGATTGGGGGTGGGGCTGGGGATGAGGACCGGCCCAGCGTTGCTGAACATCCGCTCAAGATCCAGGCCTCGGAACAAATTAGCGAACACTCATGCCAAATTCATCTGTCAACGCCTCCCCCCTCCCCCCAATGTTCAGAGTTGGCGGTGGGCCTGATGAGATGCACTTCGACCACAGTCTCCCCCCCGCGCGTGCCAACACTGAGTTTGGGGGGGGGGGAGTGCTCAGCAACTGTCTCCCTCTCCCGTCGGTCCCCAGACCCCTCCCGGGGCCCACGCTGGCCGGCCCGTTGCTCGCGGCGGATGCAGCCGCGGCGGCGGAAGGCCTCCCGGAGGGGGAAGGGCGGAGGACTCCCGGAGGCGCCGCCGCTGCCGCGGCTGGCCATCCGCCGGCCTGCCCTCGTGGCAAGGCAGGGCGCACGTAGGGGCTCGACGAACGGGCCAACAAAAGGGGGGGAGCACGACGAAGGGGAGGGAGGAGGAGGAGGAGGAGGAGGAGGAGGAGACAGAGGGGGAGTTCGCGAATCCGCTCACTTGACTGGCTCTCCTGGCCTCCTGGCGCTGGAGGCGCCATGTATCGAGGAGCGCCAAGCTGCGGAGACGAAGCCCACTGCATGCAGCAGCTGTCGCAACCCCCGCCTCTCCCTACGCCCCCTCCCTACGTTCGACGGCGTGTGCTCGGGGGCCCATCCTTCCGTCCGCCCAGAGAGCCGGTGCGCAGTGCGCTCAAGCCCAGCCCCCGCCGCGCCGCAGCGACGGGGAGGCCCGCCGAAGGCCCAAATGGGGAAGAGGAGAGAGGACGGGGAACTTCATGTGGCGATCGAGGTCTGAACGGCTGGCGTCCCCCGATGCGGTCGCGCTCACAGACGATTCGCGCCCAGCCGCGCGCGCGGGCGCTCCAGCTCATGGTCTGGCTCACGCGCGGGCGGGGGGGCGCCGACGGCAATGCTCTGCGGCGGAACCCGCCGCAGGCGGCGCCGCTCACGCGGTCTTCTTCTTATTCTTCTGCTCGAGGCTGTCAAAGAAGTCCTTGACGTGCCTCCCGTTGTGGGGGTCCTCGACGACATCGGCGGCCACCGCGATGGACTCGATGCCGGACTCGTCCTCTGGAGGTCAGCTGTACACCTGCACAGGTCCTGGCCCTGGCCCACCCTGGGCCCAGGACATCGGTGCACATGCCCTCCCGGTTGGTCCAGGAAGGCACGTGCAACCATCCTGGGCCCAAGATCGGCCCGGCCAGGATCGTCGGAGGATGATAGGCCTGTTTTCCACCACCACCACCACCACCACCACCACAAGTTGGAGGGGGAAAGAAGGAGGAGGAGGAGGAGCAGGAGGAGGAGGACCCCCTCCCTCTCCTACCTGTGGTGGTGATGGTGGAAAACAGGCCCATCAGGAAGGAGGAGGGCCAAGTGAGACCACGGCGGCGCCCCCGCCCAGCCCAGCCCCGCTGAAGAAGTCCATGCCCGGGCCTCTCCCCGAGTGGAGCGCCGGGGATCGCCGCCGAGGGCCAGGTGAGACCACGGCGGCGCCCCCGCCCAACTCAACTCCGCCGAAGAAGTCCATGCCCGGGCCTCTCCCAGAAGGGAACGCCAGGGAGCGCCGCCGTGGTCTCTCCCGCGGCCCAGGCCCCCTTTAGTGCGGGCGCGGGGCCGGCGCCCGCCGAGTCCTTGCCGCGCAGCATGCGGAAGAAGCCGTCCTCGCCCCAGTCAGGGCCCCAGCTGTTCTGGATGCGCCAGTAGGGGGTGCCATTGTCCTCGCCGTAGCCGACGAGCAGCACGGCGTGGTCGACCTTCTCCCACTCGGGCTTCTCGGTCTGGTTGTGGAGGCCCTCGGACTTGTAGACGCCATCGGAGTAGTACATGAAGTCCTCAGGAGTGTGACAGCTATACACCATACACTTACACCAATCTGAAACCAGGACTGGTATATACACCCTCCTCTTGTAAAGAAGGCGTATAACTACACCGATCTGGTGTACATGTAAAATTGGCGCCCTCCGAGTCCTCGGCCGGCTCGAAACTCACGACCATGGGGCCGTTATGGTAGAGCTCCTCCATGATGGCCTCGGTGCTGGCGTTCCCGTAGAAGGACCCGACGTAGCGGTAGTTGTCCGCCCTGTACCTGAGGGGCAACGATAAGGGGGTGTAGGCATTGGGGGGGTGCATCGACCTGGAATCGGCGATAGATCGCCGATAGATCGGCCATAGGCCCCACGGTAGTGAATCTCCGCACCTTCCTGGGCGGGTTAGGGCAATCGGGCACCTATCGGCGATCAACGGGCGATTGGGGGTCGATGCATCCCCCTCTATGCCTATCAGCCCCTACCGTTGCCCCTGAGTACCGCTTGCCCTCCAGCTTGTCCAGGTCACACTCCAGCTTGCAGGTGCCAGCGGTGTCGTAGCGCATGCACGTGGCGGGCACCAGGCCCACGTCCGAGGACCACTTGCTCATCAGGAAGGGGTAGCCCCCCTTGCAGCCCTGGTTGTACTCGCCGCAGAAGAGGGGCATGTTGATCGACCAGGGGAGCACGCTGGCGTTGTTCTGCCGGATCTTGTGCCTGGTGCTCAGCATGCGCATCGTGGAGGCCGCGTAGCAGCTGCCGCAGTCGCTCTGGTCCATCACGGGCTCCAGCCAGTCCGTGCCGTCCGTGGCGTTACTCCAGTCCCACGACGAGGGCAGCGCGGCCGGGCGCGAGCGCTGCAGGAAGCTCGGGCGCGAGTGCCTGCGCCCCGCGGTGGCCTGCAGCATCATGTCGCGGTGGAGCTCGCGCGCCGGCGCCAGGCGCCGGATCCCTGCGTAGCCGTTGATCTCGCGCACGGTCTTCCCGATCCACTTCCTCACGACGCCCGCCTTCCAGCCGAGCTGCAGCATGTTGAGCCGGGCGTTCAGCCTCGCCACCTTCTGCGTCATGGCCGTGTGGGTCATCGTCTTGTCCTGTGCCGACCTCGACGCCGCCGACTTCGAGGCCGGCAGCGGAACTGGGGCCTCCGGCTGCACCTTCGTCGCGAAGTAGCAGCCGAACTCGGTGCGGTCCAGGTTATGGAACCAGCCCACCATGGTGTCGCCGCAGTGCGAGAAGTTCTTCTTCTCGTGCGTCACCGCGTCCCGCTGGAAAGTGAAGTTCGAGAAGGCGAAGAAGGTGTGGTCGCCAACCTTCACCTCGAAGCCCTCGTCGTACACCATCGTCCAGGTTCCGCGCTGGCCCTCCTTCGTCCTGACGAGGTTCGGGCTGCGCAGCTCGATGAGCCTCGAGGTCCCGTTCCTCATCACGTCGCGAGAGGGCTGTGCGTCCTCGGGGGGGAGCCAGATACCGATGCCGCTGTCACTCGGACATCTCCCAGTGCGCGCTTGGACAAGGATTCCGAGGCAAATCCAGCCGTGGCGACGAAGGGACCCCAGGAAGCACCAGAGCAGCCGAGAAGGCAGGAAGGGTACGGGCATCGGTGGGCATGTTGTATATGTTCATCTCGGAAGCGTATAGAAGGGGAAATGCGGGAACCACAAAATCATCAATTTGCTCCAGGTGTTCGATGATGTGGGGTCCTCGAAGGCTTCCTGGGATCTTTCTTCGGTGGTGACGGGGGCCTTAGGTATGGCCTGTTGTGCACAGAACAGGCAGGGGGTAAGTTGGAAAAAAAAGGAATTCAGGAATTTATTGTTTTTTCAATGTGCCATGCCTGGGCTGTGGGACAGAAGTCTCCGGGCTGTGGGACAGAAGTCTCCGGGATAACAGGCCATGGTCTGTTGGGATGGCCATCAAAGCCTTTCTGGCGGCGTCCTGGAAAGCCTCCTGGGAGCCTCCCGGGAGTCTCCGCAGGCATCTGGTGGGCGCCTCGAGAGCCTCTGGGAGAACCTTGGGGCCACCTTGGGGCAAAGCGCCCGTAAGGCTTTAGAAGGTCCCATATTTTGTCTCTTTCTTGGCGCGAGCACGCAACTCTAGCTAGGCTGGACAGGTGAACTCATGAGATCTCGACTTAGCGGTGGTTTCAGGGGTAGCCAAGAGAACACGAAGACGACCCACGAGAGTGCCAAGACAGTGTCAGAGAGTTCAACATCACTCCCGACAAATATGTGCAATGTGACCTCGAAGTCTTGATGGGACTCGGGATGGACTTGAACAAAAAGAGGATCACTGGATTTCCTTTTTTTCCAAGTGGGGACTCCTAACATGTATTGCGCAGGATTCGGCGGGGGCCTAAGAGGCATGCCGGGAACTCTTCGGAGGCAGTTTGGAGGCCGCTGGGGGTCTGTTTGGGGGCCTCTTGAGGCCACTTTTGGACCTCTTCGGGGCTCTTGGGGGCCTCTTCAGGCTCTTTGGGGGACTCTTGGGGCCTCCTGGAGGCCTCTTGGAGCGGAAAGTCGGGATTATTGATTTGCGTTCCCCCCGTTGGGCGGCTTCTCAGCCCATCTTCGGGCTCTCTTGGGTTGCCTCGGGGCGCTCGTGGGCCGTCTTGGGGCCTCCTTGGCCCGTCTTGGAGCCGTCCTGGGGGCTCTTGGACGGTTTTGGGCGGTCTTGGGGGCCTTTTTCGTTCGGCTTGGAGCGTCGGAAGCTCGAAAACGCAAGAAGGCTAAAAATCTATTCTTATTTGACAAATTAAACTCAACGATGTTGGCCTCTTCGGGCGCTCCCTGGACGCCTCTCGGAGCTCTTGGGGCCTATTGGAGGCCTCCTGGGAGCATGGAGAGCCGTCGGAAGTCTGTCTTGGGCTGCTTGGGAGCGTCTTGGGCCATCCTTTCGCGTTCTGGGGGCTCCTTGGGGGCGTCTTGGGCCGTCCTGGCCGTTTGGGGCCTCCCTGGGAGGCCCAGGGGCCCGGTACTGGGAGTTGCCCCCAGATGTCCCAGAGGTGTGGGACGCTCCCAGTGGGGGGGGCGTATTTATGTTGTGTATATATATATACACTAGAAACACCGCGCGTCGATCGCGCTCAAGTTCTAGCTAGGCTCGACAGGCTAACGCATGGAATCTCAAGTGTTGAAGTGCCTTGTGCATCTAACGACCTTCTTGCAGTCCCTGCGCAAGCCTCGGAAGCACATGGAAGGGGAAATGCGGAAACCACCAAACATCATCCATGTCTTTTAGGTGTTCGATGAGTTGGGGTCCTCGAAGGCTTCTTGGGATCTTTCTTCGGTGGTGACGGGGGCCTTAAGTATGGCCTGTTGTGCACAAAAAAGCAGGGGGTAAGTTTGAGAAAAAGTAATTATTGGAATGTGTGTTTTTTCAAGTTGCCATGCCTGGGCTCGGGGATCTTCTGACCCGGGTCAATCCAGACCCGGGTCAGTCAGGCCTTGCACCCAAACCCGGGTCATTGCGAAGGATCCTGCAGGATCCTGCAAGATCCCGCACCCAAACCCTGGCCCTGCAGGATCCTGCAAGATCGGGCGATCCCGCTGACCCCCGTTTGCATTGACCCCCGCCTCAAGGCTGCCGATGGGCTGTGGGACAGAAGTCTCCGGGATACGGGCCATGGTCTGCTGGGATGGCCATCGAAGCCTTTTTGGCGACGTCCTGGAGGCCTTTCGCGGCCTCTTGGGGGGCTCTTGGTGCCTCCTGGGAGCCTCCCAGGAGTCCCCGCAGGCATCTGGGAGGCGCCTCGAAAACCTCTGGGAGAACCTTGGGGCCACCTTGGGGCAAAGCGCCCGTAAGGCTTTGGGAGGTGTCATCATTTGTCTCTTTCTTGGCGCGCGCGCGCTGACGGTCTAGCTAGGCTGGACAGGTGAACTCATTGGATCTCGATTCTTACTACGGCTTGCGTCGGGCACGAGGACACGAAGACGACGTGCCAAGACAGCGTCAGAGAGTTCACCAACATTCCCGAAAAATCTGTGCAATGTGACCCCGAAGTCTTGATGGGGCTCGGGATGAACTTGAACAAAAAGAGGATCACTGGATTTCCTTTTTTTTTCAAGTGGGGACTCCTAACATGTATTGCGCAGGATTCGGGCGGGGGCTTAAAAGGCGTGCAGGAACTCTTCGGAGGCAGTTTGGAGGCCGCTGGGGGTCTGTTTTGGGGCCTCTTGTGGCCACTTTTGGGCCTCCTCGGGGCTCTTGGGGGCCTCTTCAGGCTCTTTGGGGGACTCTTGGGGCATCCTGGGAAAGCAAAAATTGTTTCTTCTTGGCCCGTCTTGGAGCCGTCTTGGGGGCACGGTCTTGGGGCGCTCTTGGGGGCCTTTTTCGACCGTCTTGGAGCGTTGGCAGCTCCTAAACGCGAGAAGGTTAAAAACCTCGTTTCATGTTGGTTTCTTTTATGTTGGCCTCTTCGGGCGCTCCCGGAGCGCCTCTCGGAGCTCTCTTGGGGCATCTTGGAGGCCTCCTGGGAGCCTGGGAAGTCTGTCTGCCTTTGGCTGCTTGGGCGCGTCTTGGGCTGTCCTTTCGCGGTCCAGGGGTTACTTGGGGGCGTCTTGGGCCGTCCTGGGCGTTTTGGATCTTCCATGGGAGGCCTGGGGGGCGCGGTACTGGGAGTTGCCCCCAGATGTCACGGAGGTGTGGGACGCTTCCTGGGGGGGCGGGGGGCGCATTTGCTTATAGTATATCATATATATATATATATATATATATATATAATGTGTGTGGCATCTCTGGGGCTTCTCCTCTGACGTCCTCCGTGTCCGGATGCGCGTGCCCGCAGGACGACCGCTTGCTGGAGGCCTCGCCGAGCACGAAATTCCACTCGCCCTCTACCTGGTGCCGCAGGCAATGCACCGGCAGGTCGCTGGTCGCCCGCTGGGCCAGCGTGGCCAACGAGGTGACCAGGACCGCTACGTTGAGGCGCGCCATCGTCCGTAGGGCGCGGCGCTGGTGGTGGCAGGCAGGGGGCGTGCGGTGCGTCAGAAGCCGCCGCAAAACAGGGTCTCGAGCCGAGGGGTTCCAGATCTGCCCTTGAAAGGGCCTCGCGCTTAGATTTCAGAGACTTGGGGCCCCAGCGCCACAGGAGGAGAGGGGAGAGGAGGGAGGAGAAGATGATGAGGATGATGATGAGGAGGAGGAGGAGGCAGGAGGGGGAGGACGAGGAGGAGGTCGAGGAGGAGGACGGGCAAGGGGAGGGGGAGGAGGACAGGAGGAGGAGGGGCAGTGTAAATCCAAGACTCATCAACGATGTGGCATGAAACCCTCCCTCCCAGTTCCCTCTTGACACGTCCCTACAAGGATGTGTGTTCCGCTCGGGGCAGTGCCTCGGCGGACGGCGACGACGCCAGCGGCGACGGCAGCGGCGCCAAGGGCCGGCCGGGCGCGCCTCGCGCCGCGCCTGCGGGCCCGGGCTGCCGGCGCGCGCCAGCGGGCGCGGAGGGGGGCCGGCGCCGCCGGAGGGGCCTCGGCGTGCGGGCGCCGCCAAGCCCGCGGCGGGGAGGGCGGCGGCGGCGGCCGCAGCGGGGGCTGCAGCGAGGGCGGCGGCGGCGGCGGCGGCGAGAGAGGCCGGAGGGGGGCAGCGGCGGCAGCGGCGGCCGCTGCGGCGAGCGCTGCGGCGACGGCGGTGGCGGCGGCGGCCGCAGAGGCGGCGGCGGCGAAAACGCTGAGGATTGGCTGTGGCGGGTGCCAGGAGGGGCCCAGCGGGGCCTTGGAGCAGAGGAGGCCTTCTGGGGGGGGGGGCCTGGAAGGTTCTCGGAGGGGCCACGAAAGGGGAGCACCGGCTCCGGGGGAGAAGCGTCGACCTGAAATCGGCGATGCATCGCCCATAGAACGGCAATTGGCCTCCGATAGCTAATCCGAATGCTCTGGGGGAGGCTGAGGTTATCGTGCTCCTATCGCGATGAACGGGCGATTTGAGGTCGATGCATCCCCCCAGCGCTGTCCATCCCCAACGTTGCCCGTGATTCTCGGAGGTGTTCGGACGCTCTGGGAGGTGTCACGGTGTCCTCGCAACGGTTTTCACAGGTTGTCAGCGCAGACTGCGGGAGGTCTCGACGGAAGACAACGATGGCAGCAGCGACGAAAAGCGATTGCGACGGACGACGACGGCGACGGACAACAACGGCGACGACGGGCGACGGCGCGCACAATCGCAAGCCCCCCCTGGCCCGCTGCTCCCCCTCCCAGTCCTCCTCCCTGCACCCTCCTCGTCCTCCTTCTCCTCCTCCTCCTCCTCCTCTCATCCACCCCTTCCCTCCTCTCCCTCCCTCCCTATTCCCTACGATCATGGCCCCTCCTCCGCTCCTCGTCCTTCAAATCTGACTCCTCCTCCCCCGCCTCCTCAGCCCCTTCCCCTCCTCCTCCTCCTCCTCCTCCTCAGCCTCCGCCTACGCCTCCGTCTCCTCCTCCCTTTTCCAATGGCTCTCTCATTGCTCCTTCAAACTGGGCTCGGCGTGGCTGGCAAAACATAAGATTCGACTATTATAACTGTTGCAATCCGGCACACCACTCGCCCCCGTCGTCGGGGCGATCCAATGACCACGGATTCGAGACACGGAAGCCCTGCTCCAGCTTCTCCCCCGCTCTCCTCCCCCTCTCCCTCCTCCTCCTCCTCCTCCTCTTCCTCCTCCTCCTCCTCCTCCTCCTCCTCCTCCTCCACTTCCTCCTCCTCCTCTTCCTCCTCTTTCTCCTCCTCCTCCTTCTCCTCCTTCCTCCTCCTCCTCCTCCTCCTCCTCCTCCACCTCCCTCCACCTCCTCTCCTCCTCCTCCTCCTCTCTCCTCCCTCCTCCTCCTCCTCCTCCTCCTCCCTCCTCCTCCTCCTCCTCTCCCTCCTCCTCCTCCTCCTCCTCCTCCTCCTCCTCTTCCTCCTCTTCCTCATCATAGGCGCCCGGACCATGGGCTCAAGCATCCTGGGCGCCTGTTTCGCCCCGGCCCCAGCGCTGCGCCTCAACGGGACAGCCCGATCAGAGCTCCATGGCCAGGGGGTGACACAGCGGCGGCTGCCGCATACCGGGCGCGGGAGCCATGCGGGGCGTACCCTGGCAGCGGCCCAGCGCCGAAGTGGGCGCGCGAGCTCGGCGGACCAGTCGGAGCCCGAGGACCTCGAGAGGCCCCTCTGCGAGGGTGCGCCGCAGAAGCAGGGTCGAGAACCAGGCTGTCGCAGTAACCTGCGAGGTGCTAAAAGCGGAGTTCCCGTCGGAACCAGTGGACGTCGAGAAGCTCATCTGCGAGCATGAGTCTCAGAAGAGGATCGAGGACCAGGCAGACGAGAAGACCTGCGAGATGGTCAAGACAGAGTTCAGTTCCCGTCGATGCCTGCGAACGTCGAGCTGCTCACCTGCGAGTACGCGCCGCAGCAGCACATCGAGGTCCAGGCTTTCGAGGAGACCTCCGGAGTGGACGCTGAGAAGCTCATCTGCGAGCACGCGTCGCAGAAGCAGATCGTGGACGAGACTATCTGCGAGTGCGCGTTGCCGAAGCAGATCGAGAGTCAGGCTGTCGAAGAGGCCTGCGAGGTGGCAGAGGCGGGGTCCCCGTCGGTGGCAGCGGACGTCGAGGAGCATATCCGCGAGCGCGCGTCGCTGAAGCAGATCGAGGACCAGGGTTGTCGAGGAGGCTTGCGAGGTGGTCCAGGCAGCGGCCCCATCAGAGCCCGTGGACGTCGAGAAAGCCATCTGCGAGTTCGCGTTGCAGAAGCCGATCGAGGTCAAGGAAACCTGCGAGGCGGTCAGAGCGAAGCATCTGGCGGCGCCTGCGGACGTCGAGAAGCTCATCTGCGAGCACGCGTCGCAGAAGCAGATCGAGGACCAGGCCGTCGAGAGGACATGCGAGGTGGTCAAGGCGGAGTTCCCGTCCGTGGTAGAGGACGTCGAGAAACTCATCTGGGAGTACACGGCGCAGAAGCAGATCGAGGTCCAGGCCGTCGAGAAGACCTGCGAAGTGGCAAAGGTGGAGTCCCCGTCGGTGCCAGCGGACGTCGAATAGCATATCTGGGAGTACACGTCGAAGAAGCAGATCAAGGACCAGGTCGTCAAGAAGACCATCGAAGTAGCAAAGGTGGAGTCCCCGTCGGTGCCCGCGGACGTCGAGAAGCATGTCTGGGAGTACACGTCGAAGAAGCAGATCGAGGACCAGGTCGTCAAGACGACTTGCGAAGTGGCAAAGGCGGGGTCCCCGTCGATGCCAGCGGACGTCGAGAAGCATACCTGGGACTACACTTCACAGAAGCAGATCAAGGACCAGGCCACCGAGAGGACCTGCGAGGTTGTCAAGGCTAAGTTCCCGTCGGCGGCAGCGGACGTCGAGAAGCTCATCTGGGTGTACAGGTCGCGGAAGCAGTTCGAGGACCAGGCCACCGAGAGGAACTGCGAGATGGTATAGGCTAAGTTCCCGTCGATGGCATTAGACGCCGAGGGAGTATGCGTCGCAGAAACAGCTCGAGGGCCAGGCAGTCGAGAGGGCCTGCGTGGTGGTGAAGGCGAGTTCCCGACGATGCCTGCGGACGTCGCGGGTAATGACTTAGTCTTGATGTGTCCGCTCTCTCCTTCGCCTCGGGCCGAAGCGACCGTACCGAACCGATGCTGACTGTAAGCAGCAACACTGCCTGCAATACGTAAGGTGCCCGCACATCCTGTGTTGTGTCCCGCGATGATAAGACAGCCCCTGCGTCCACGGTGCAAGGCCTGCCGATGCAGTTGCAGCGGGGCACGCTGGCATTCCTGAAGAAGCTGTGCTGATATCGCCCGTCAGCTGGCCTTTAGGAGAGTCGGGCGTACGATCGTTGTGCGTACTGGTGGCCAGTGAGTAACCGCGGCCTCCTCAAACGAAGTGGGCTGGGCTCACGCCGCGGACAACGACGACCACTACGAGGAGGAGGAGGAGGAGGAGGAGGAGGAGGACCGCGGCCTCCTCAATATAAGTGGGCTGGGTGCCAGCCGCGGCCCACATGCGACGCTGTCGCGCGCCGTCTCTGCCCTTCCCCTCCTCCTCCTCCCCTCCTCTCCTCCCTCCTCCCTCCTCCTCCTCCTCCTCCTCCTCCTCCTCCTCCTCCTCCTCCTCCTCCTCCTCCTCCTCCTCCTCCTCCTCCTCCTCCTCCCTCCTCCTCCTCCTCCTCCTCCTCCTCCCTCCTCCTCCTCCTCCTCCTCCTCCTCCTCCTCCTCCTCCTCCTCCTCCGACGACGAAGACGACGACGCCGCCGACGACGAAGGCGCGGGGACGCCTCGAAGGAGCCTGCCCGCCGCCCGCGGCCGCGGGCGCAGAAGCTGGGCCCCGCCGGCCTCTCGAGGGTCGTCGTATCGTCTCCGTCGTCGTCGTTGTCGTCGTCGTCGTCGTCGTCGCCGTGGTCGTCGTCGTTGTTGTCATCGTCCTCGTCGTCCTCGTCGTCGTCGTCTTCATCCTCCTCCTCCTCCTCCTCCTCCTCCTCCTCCTCTTCCTCCTTCCTCCCCTCCTCCTCCTCCTCCTCCTCCTCCTCCTCCTCCTCCTCCTCCTCCTCCTCCTCCTCCTCCTGGTCGTCGTTGTCGTCGCTGGCGTCTCCCACCCATTTTCCCCACTTTCTTTCTCTACTACTGATTACCCCTCTCATCCGCTTCTTTCTCTTCGTCCTCATAGTATTATCCTCCTCGTCTCCCTTTCTCTCTTTCGTTCTCTCGTTTTCTCTCTGTTTATCTCTTCCTCTCACGGAGAGAAGGACGAGGGGGAGGAAGGGCAACGAGGGAAAAAGGGAGATGAGGTGGGGGAAGGTGACGATGGATGTGGTTGATGGGGGAAGGGGGGATGACAGGGAGAAGACAAACGGCGAGGACGAACCCTACGAAAAGAAGACGGGAGGTGGAGGGGGAACGGGAAGGGGAGATAGAGGCAGACGAAGGCGGAAGGCGGAAAGGCGGAAGATGAAGGTGGCAAGGCAGGAAGAAAAAGAGGAGGCGGATTGGGCAAGGGGAAGGAGGGACGAGGAAAGAGGAGCGATGATGTCGAGAACAGCAACCGAATGGAATAACATGCGGGGAACAAGATAGGACGGAGAAACTGGACGGGGGGCGACGCGGCGAAACGGAGATGCATCGATGCGTAGGTGTATGTGTATGTGTATGTGTATTACACATATAGAGAGTGGGAAAGAGGGAGAGAGAGAGAGAGAGACAGAGACAGAGACAGAGACAGAGAAAGAGAGAGAGGGAGAGAGAGAAAGAAAACGACACCATGTGGAAATGGTGGGGAAGATGAAGAGAAGGAGGGAGGGAGAACGAAAAATGGGGGAGCTGGGGCATATGAGAGGACTAGCGCGGAGGCAGGCAGCAAGGAGGGGCATGAGAGAGGTGGACGGAGGAGGGGCCAACACCCAGATTGATGATGACTACAATTGTCTCTGGAGCTAACAGCACTGTGCTGGCTGGCTTTTCCCCTGCAGTTTCTTCGCGACCTGGCAAGGGGCAGGGGGGGCGCTTCAAAATCACAAGTGGATCCGCGATCCATACGGGGCGTTCAACTGCAACAACTCTTTGAAGCTGCAGGGCTATAATCCTGTTCGGGCAGCTTCCTGGGCAGTCCATCTGAAAGCCTGCGAATTGGGATCCGCTGAACGCGCCGCATCTGCGACACAACAAAATACTGCAAGGCATTGTCTCGTCGGCAGAACCGAAGATTTAAAAGGCGCGCCCTCTGGGGTGGGCAAGCGCGAACCTGGGCACGTTTCCAGCTCTCTCTCTCGCTGGGGCGGCGCTGGCTGCCACTGCCTACTCTGCAGGCCGAGGAAATCCAAAGCTGACGGCGCTTGACCCACTGATGGGCCCCCTCCGGGGCTCTCTTGGGGTAGGGAGGGAGCCAGCCGTCGAGGACGGGAGGGCTTCGACGCCCCAGGATGGCCCAGCTGCTGCCGCCCCCGCGGGCGGCCTTGCAGATTCATCGGGTTTGCCCAACCTCTTCTGGCCAGCGGCAGGGGCGACCATGGGCCGCACCTCTGGAACAAAACGCAACCATGTGGTGATGGGCCCGACCTCGCCCCCAGCCTGTCCAACCTCGGCATCGCTGGGCGCTCCGCATTGGCCGGCGGCAACATCGGCATATTTCTATCAGTAGAGTCGTCGCCGGCGGTGGGTCACCATGAGGTTCTGCCCTGCTCAGGGCTGCACCATATGCACACGAGCGCTGGCCCGCGGGCCCCGGGCCCGATCGGCACTGGCAGCCCTGGCACTGGCAGCCCTGGCAGCCCTGGATCGCCGGGGCAACAACGGCCCACCTAGCGAGACTCCACATGTTGCGCCCGCCTGGCTCGAGGCAAGATCCGCCAGCATACGCATTGTCTGAGAAGGCTCGCTGCGGCGCCAAGGAGCTGTCTTGACACCAAAATTTAATTTGCTCGCAATATTTTCCTGATGGGTCTCCGTCGCTGTAGCCACGGCAGAATCGAATGCCAAGTCCAAAGAGCGACGTTGTGATATCCCTGAGCTGCGCCAAATCATGCCCTGGGAAACTCGCTCGAAGGTGGGCCCACTTGGGCCGCCGTAGCAGCCCGCGTCTGACGTCGCCTCGAGACTGGCCGCATCCGCAATGAGCCTCGACCCGATATCCCGCGGCAGACGATCGGGCGCAGGCCCAGATACACCGCGCCGACAGGCAACGGGCGCAGAGTGCGACTTCTTGCCCAGCCAAAAACCGGCGATGGGATTTCGACCAACTGCCGCGTCCGAAGTCTCTACTGACTGGCCTTGCGCCATGGCGGCTATCTCCGAGACTCGTCGGCCCCGCATTTCCTGCATGTTCTGGGCGGCGAATTTCGGGGCACAGGCGGCGAGGGCAACGCCGGCCCCCCCGGCACCCCAACACGAAATCACAAGCCAGCCGATCCTCCTGAGGGGGACAAGCCGGCGGCCCCCAGGGGGCCTCTGCCCGCGCGCCCGGCGGCGGAGCCAGCGGCAAAACTGGCTCCGCTAGGCCGGTCCGCTCACGGAGGTCAGATGTGGATGGCGGCTGGGCATGCGCTCTCTAGACATTCGTGGATTGGGCAAGCGCTGGCCCGAGGGCTGCCATCCAGGTCGGGGCCCCTTGCTGCGAGAGCTAACGATCGACTTCGCGTTGCCCACCTGGGCCCCGCGGCCGCGAGGCCCCCCGTTTGCGGCGCGCGAACTTTCCCTGAATCAACGCCGACCACCTCTGCCCCATGCGGGCCCCGCTGATCTGGCGCCTCGCCCAGCCGACTTGACCGCCCACGTGCGCAGCCTTCTCTTGCGTCGAACGAGACGACGATAGCGCGCGGCTTCGGGGCGTGTTCCACTGGTTCGGCCTCTCGAAGAAGCAGCGAAAGTACCCGCGCCAATGTCGGCGGCCGCGCGGGCGCCCCCGGGGCCGGCACGCACCCCAAGCGCTCTCCGAACACATGTCCGAAGCTCGGGGCTCGGCGCCACGATCGGGGCCCAGCCCCGAGCGATCTGGCACTCCACTTCCTAGCGAACAGCTCACTGACTCGAAGCTCTCGGCCCTGATCTCGCTGCCCCAGGAAGGGGCCATCACTGAGACTGCGCAACTCCGCCCCCAGCGCGCCCCCGCGGCGCCGGGGGCCCAGGGGGCCCGCTCAATGCACTTGAACCAGAAACGCAGCCCATCCACATCCAGCCGCAATCCCTCGGGCGGGGCACGCAAAAATCTGGGCGAGCGAAGCCCCGCGGCGCCACCCGGCGCTGTCTGCCGCGCAATGACAAACTCACCTTGGAAGAGGTCGCCGCGGACGCCGGCGTCACGGGCGGATCCCCCCGACGAGCCCACAGCGGCAGGTGCGCTCGCAGCAATTACTGGGGCCCCACAGAACGGCACCTGAGAGGCCCGTCTCGGCGCAAGCGATACCGCTCTCCGCACTGTGACTTCGGCGACAAACAGATCCTGCGACATTCCGGCCTACGTGGCGGGCCGGGAGCTGGCGCCTGCGACAGCGCCCCCGCCCCCCGGCCTCGCCCTGCCCAACCTTGCTCCATATGCGGAGCGAGCCCGGCATTCCCCCCACGCCTCTCAACTTGGGTCAGGGAGTCCCCCGCCTTCGCCCGCCCCAAGGTCCAGGGCCGAAACGGCCGCTGCAACCGGGTCGGCGCGCCGCCGCCCAGCTCGACCAGCTCCAAAAACCTACTCGAGCAAGACGCGCGCGCGAAAATGCCCGGGGCGAAAGCCGCCCCAAGTCGAAGATGCGACGCGGGGGAACGCCCCGGCAGCGCGGAACAAGCGCCGGGGCCCCAGCGGGGCCAGGGGGGCTTCGTCGAGGGCCACGACCCGATCGTGCATTTCGACCTGACCGCGCAGTGACATCCCACAGCGCGCCGCAACTTTCCGCCTCGCGCTCGAGGATCTTGGAGGGCCCCCCAGACCACGAGCATCGACGGGGCACAGGAGAGGGGCGC